TAATAATAATAATAATAATAATAATAATAATAATCTGATCGCTCGGAAATTCTTCCCAAGAAGATATTAAACACCATAATAAATTACAATGTTATTAAATAAAATTGTATGACACTTACACATAAATTAAAAAGCGCAGCAGACACCTGATCTTTTATCTATCGTATTAATTATCTATTATTTATTTTGATGTTTTCTAATGTATTTTAATACTATATTGCATATATTATCTTTTTATTTTAAGAACGAGATTGTTATTTTTGTCGAAATAATAGAATAATTGTAGCATATTGCCTATTTGCAGCATAAGAAGAGGTGCCCATTCGGTCGTGAACTTTCGATATTTTGACTTCTTCATAATAGTGGTGATATTGTTATCAAGTATCGCACTGGCTGCCGAGAATCCTTTAGAGAAACAAAATGATATCCTCAAATACTTCGATTACGCATTTACCAGCGTCTTTACCATCGAAATGGTGCTGAAAATCATCGATCTTGGTATCATACTGCATCCGGGCTCATACCTGCGCGAGTTCTGGAACATTATGGATGCAGTCGTAGTGATATGTGCTATGGTGTCAATCGGCTTTGACATATACTACTTTTTTAATGGTTCTGTCAGCCAGAATGATGACAAAGTCCACTCTTCTAAGTCTTCTACCAGCCAAAATCTTTCAACCATCAAATCGCTACGAGTGCTGCGAGTACTCAGGCCGCTTAAGACAATAAAGCGCGTGCCGAAGCTCAAGGCGGTGTTCGACTGCGTGGTGAACAGTCTCAAGAATGTCATTAACATTCTCATAGTGTACATATTATTTCAATTCATATTCGCCGTAATTGCGGTGCAGTTGTTCAACGGTAAATTCTACTACTGCACTGATGAGAGCAAGTATACGCAAGAGGATTGCAAGTAAGTATACTATTTGAGTATATTATTCGATCTTCTTACTTCTACTTATCAACAGAAACATTTTGGAGAAAATACACATAAATATATTAGTGCATTTTAATAATAATTAAAGCTAGAACATTTGATTTTGATAAGTAAGCAAATAAATATATCTTTAAGAGCAAATGAATCTGAAACTAAAAAAAAAATTCTTTGTTTCGTACTTATTCTTGAATTACTCGTATATTTTTACAAATGTCAGTAGAAATGGAGATCAATTTTGTTTTCGCGACAGTGGCCATTTCTTCGTTTTCGAGAAGAATAATATACTACCGAAGTTCGAGCCACGGAAGTGGCAACCCCAGGACTTTCACTACGACAACGTAATAATGGCCATGCTAACGTTGTTCGCTGTCCAGACCGGCGAAGGCTGGCCACAGATCTTGCAAAACTCGATGGCGGCCACGTATAAGAACAAGGGTCCTATCCAGAATAGTCATATCGAAATGTCCATTTTCTACATCGTCTATTTCATCGTCTTTCCATTCTTCTTCGTCAACGTCTTCGTGGCTTTGATTATCATCATGTTCCAGGAGCAAGGAGAAGCTGAACTGCAGGACGGTGGAATCGATAAAAATCAGGTAATTTTTCATACCTATTTTTTCATTTGAATTAATTTTATGTGCGTTTCATTAGCTGTCTTCATGAAAAGGATAAATTTTAAAAAATATGAAGTCTTTCTCTTCAAGCGTCATTAAAATTTTAGTTTTTTTTTTAAATGAAAAATGTATTAATATATACAATTATTATATACATAAATATTATATACATAAATATTATATACATAAATTAAATAATTGTTTCCATATATGAACAATTTAAATATATAAATATTCTTTCATGTATATCAATTTTTGTTGGCTCTTTATGTTTTAATTTTTTCTTTATTTTAATTTTTATTTTCGTCACATTTTAGACAATATATGTGCTGTTTGCATTTTTTTAGCACAGACATTAATGCAGACATTGATAATTCCGTGTTAATCTTTCAGAAATCATGTATAGAATTTACAATAAAAGCTCGTCCATTCGAGAGGTATATGCCGAAGGAGCGGAATAGCGTTAAGTACAAAATCTGGAGAATAGTTATATCTACGCCATTCGAACATTTTATCATGATACTCATCGTATTGAACGCAATATTGCTTATGATGAAGGTAAGTATTGTATCACGATCTCTCTCTTGCAATTTCTTTAGAGAGATTTATTAATCAGATTAATCAGTTTTTTCCCCGATTAGTAAACGCGAATAACGAAAAAAATTAAGTGTTTTGAAATAGGAACCTTTTTATGCAAGTAATCGAAAACAAAACTTATACGTAACAAGATTTGTAAAAATTTTTTCTAACATAATAAAAGCAACTCAAAAGGATTTTTATAAACTTCGTGGCCAGTCTTGTTTTCGATTTTTCATGTTATGATTCTATATCAAAAGAGGCATAAGTGCGAATTATTATTCTTTTTTTAAAATGCGTAGACAAGAGAAAGTGTTCTTTATTTTCTTTATTTGAAATTAGGATAAAATATTTTTCAGCCAGAGAAAAATATTTTTCTTAAGGATGTATATCAGGTATAATCTCTATAAAGTGACTAAAATTGAAAATTTATACTTTCTGTATATAAAAGTAAATACTGATTTACATTTAGCAATATAATTTTATCGTTTATGTGAAAATTTTCTCATTTTATCTTAATTAATTTTTTAAAAACATGTTTACTTCATATTAAAATAATTTTTAATTTAGATTTCTACCAAATCGCCACCAAAGTTTTTGTATTATTTTCAAATACAATATAGAAAAAAAATGTATAATTTCATTATAATTTTCATTATAATTTTTCTATTTTGTTAAAACAATAATACATTCTTAAGAAGGAAATAATTTGACATATTTTTTTACTTAAAAATAAGCTTATGCCTTAATTCTGGTATTGCGATGTATTGCTCGTTTATCTTTGCGTCCTGCGATATTTATCGTTTTTAATAACTCAATTTAATATCCGCGCATTCTCTTGACTTAAGATTAGGTTTATCAGCAACTTTAATTAATCAACAAAGTCTTGTCTTTTGTTAATATAACGAAGATCATGTCACGAAGAAACGAGAATATGTCGCGTCCAAATACGTAATATCGAAAAATTGTACTATATCTATAGCTATATATTACGTTATATACTTACGAGAACATTGTTGTTCTTACCTGCTGACTTTCTGATCGTTTTCTTTGTATAACTGTATCATCCTTATATTTTATGAATACGTGTACACACATCGGCAGGAATGGTGTCCCCTGGCGTTCTGCGCGCGGCGCTACACACTCGTACCGAAGCGTACACGTACGTGTTACTGGAAACGCGATGGAGATGAGGAGTGCAAAAGGAGAAAATAATGGGAGGCGCTCCGATATTCTGTTCTTAACGCAAGGCGCATGATTGAGAGAGAAAGCGTGATGCCTGCTCGTAGTCTCCTTTCGCTGTCTCACACATTTGTTACTAGTACGAGTGAGATATCCCGGTGTCTCTCGCACACCAATATTCATAATAATACTTTTATGCACAAAATGTTGTAATTATGCATACAAATTTTTAATATTGTAAAAAATTTTTGTGCATATTTACAACATGTAATTTTGAGACTCATTGTAATAGCTTTTGGTGCATTTATAAACTTGCAGTGTGTAAATGAAATTAATATTTTGTATCGCAAGATCGCAAAATTAAATTTATAGTTAAATATGAGATATCATATCATATAATAAAATAAATAAAAAAATATATGATATAATGTATACATATTTTACATATTATACATTCAAATTTTTTTTCATTGTGAAAATGTAATAATAATAATTTTTTTAAAAACTTATTAAATTGAAAATTTAATAAGTTTTTAAATTAAATTTTAAATGTATAGTTAAAATGGTAAATTAACTTAACGTTTTTTTTATATACTTAAATCAAATAATCAAATCAAATAATTAAATTTTTAGCTGAATAAAAGTAATTACATTATTAACAGCAGTTGTGTTCATTTATAATAATAATTTTTATAACATAAAGGAAGTAGTATATTTATTAATTTTTAATAAAAAAATAATTGTAACTTTTAAAAAATTTTACAATGATTGAATAATTGTTAGAAACTAAAATTTTTTTCTTAATTTAATAATTACCAATAGTTACAGTATAAAAAAATTTTTACATTGTCCTATTTATATAGTTTATTTCATTTAATAATAATGATTGAATTGATTTGAATGTTAACTCGAGAAATGAAGAATTTATTTTTTGAATTTTATTAGTTGTCCAACTGTTAATAATTAAATATTATTATCACGAATTACGCTATCTTTTTTGCACGTTTTCTTTAATTTGATTCACTCTCAAATTCTATTAATCCACTATTATTAGAATAAAACAAATATAAATTCATGAGACAAAATTAATCGGATTCGTGCACACTTTCAGTCTTGAACCGAATCCTGTATTTTATTGTGAATTTCTTCATTTGCTTTTCAATTCCTATAACTTGTACAGTTGAACGCACGAGATGAATATCTATCCTCGTTTCTCTGTCTTTCTTAAACGAGATCATAGCCTGAGCCTTAAAATTAGAACCATCGAATTAGAAACATTTATATACATATACATATTAGGCTAATTCGAATCCATACGCAACGCTCGATTATATGATTTGTTGGACCTATTTGCCTGAAAAAAAACATAGTATGTATTCAGATTACTTGCACACGCACTGCATCTGGTCTTGAGAGCACGTATCAAATGAAACATCACGTTGCTCAGCACATATGTACACAAGCGAGGAGACAGTAACATTTTGTTCTTGTGAAAAAAACGCTCTGCGTTTTTGAAATTTTTTAAAGGAAAATTCATGAAAGAAAAAGTAATATTAAATTAGTAAAAGCAGAATTATGTATATAATATTTTATGTGAAAATATGTTGTCCCTTGTGATTGGAATAATTAATATATTAATATTTTGTGATTTATAGTTAAAAGAAGTTTTTTATCTCTAAAGCCCGATTGCACTAACATTACTTTGTCTTTAAGAAAGACTTAAAACTCTCTATTTCTCTCTTTCGCTTTAAAACGAGACAGAGAGAGTTTTAAGTTTTGCTTAAAGTCAAAGTAACGTTGGTGGAATCGGGTCTAAATGATGTTTTACTTTGAAATCACAAAATTAATCATTTTAATCTTTCTCAGATATAATAATTAATAATATGTAATGTATTAATATATTTACTTATTAATGCAAATTAACCAGTTTGGTATTTGGATTATAATTAATTGTCTTCTCGTTCGACACATTGGTTGATACGATGTATGTATATATGTATATACATATAGGGTGTCCACCTGCACTTCTCACACATGTGCAAAACTGCGTGTCGCATGCTGGCTGTCGCCAAAACAGATTGCTCAGACTGACAGCTGAATGAAATAGCAACAACATTAGATATATCTGCTAAATATGTTTTACAGTGACAAGAAATACACTGCACGGGACGTGCGTTCGCACGTTTCTCCTCTTCCCTCGTACAGAAAAGAAAGATTGCAGAAATATAAACAGAAATATAAGTAAAGTTTCGTAATTTCTGACGATTTCTTCGTTAATTGCATTCTTTTCGTTTCGGAAATCCATTCACTTTAAGTGTCTTTATTCGATTTTACGTTTCTTTGATCATTTCTCTCTCTTTCCTTCTTTTTTCGATTTTTATCAGTTTCTGCGACTAGTTTCTTCAGACACTGATTCGTATATGCTCAACTTACGATCCACAATTCCATAAAAAACAATAACAGAAAGAGGATTTATTTGTTTACAATTGATTTAATGATAAACTTAAATTTCACTTAACACTTGCATCAATATTAAATGTTTTAGTTTTAACTTACTTAATTAGATTTAATTTTTATCTCACAAGTATAAGTAAAATGTATTATTTAAATTTGTGTATATTTAACTCTGATTGGTATTTGCTCCGAAATTTCCTTAATTGATATTTGAGAGTATAGTGCATTTTAAATTGATATACCTTTGCTTAAGGTTAATGTAATTGAACGGTTTTTTTTTATTTAGGAAGTTAAAATCTAAGGAATAAGATTATGTAACTAACTAAAGTTATGTAAGGTTTGCTATAAACAATTTTTACAACGTACTTAAAAAAAAATATCTGGATCCACTGGATCCTTCGTCGTCGCTGTAATTTTTAAAATATGTAACATGGAAAAAAATCTTGTCTTGAAATTTCTTGGGTTATATTAAATGCTTTTTTTTCTTCATTGGGTCTGATAGAGTCCATCATTCAGAAAATTCCCCACATATAATCCATTGATCCAGAATTCCAGAAGATCAGTCGATCATTAGTTATCCTAGTACACACCTGATATCTCTTATAGTTCAATTAAATAGATACATATACAACGCGAAGTGCAGTTACTAATTAACCACGTAATACATAATTAATATATGCACTACACTCGTCGAAAGACGAATTGATATCGCAGGAATGTAAGAGAACAAACGTTTCATTTAATACACACGCATACCGATTAGAATTGTACACGTATAAGTTTCGACGACGTTAAAAAAATATCTCCCTCCCCACATTCTACGAATATATAGGCGTACATCATTACTTTTTACATATACGTAATTTTTCGTGTATCTCTCGCACTTTATCTTACACTTCGTACCTATGTACGACTAAACTGTGTACCAATTCGTGATACCTAAAAGCTGACACATAACATGACCCGCGAATCATTCTCGAACAGAACGCGATTTATTCGAAATTTTATTTTATACTTTTTTATTCTTACCTCGACGAACTTTACTTTGACATTATTTGACATTATTCTGTATTTGTTGCAATTTCTACAGCGCTATGCGAATAAAATGGCATGAAAAGTGATAATGTTTCAGCAAGATTAATTCTGTGTAAAAGAATACAGATACACAGATCGTATAATTTCTTTTATATGTATAATCATGTTTTATATAAAATTATTTGAATTTTTAAACACTAATTGTAAATTGATTCTATTGAGCATGGTTGGAAATTTCTAATCAACAGGAGAAAATTACTAAATAAATTTTATTTAATATATTTGACAGTTTCACAGTGTACTTCATTCTGTTTTTAAGACAATAGTTAATCTTGCTGGTGGCGTTATTCCGTTTACCCCGTTTTACAATATATATTGCAGCACAGAATGTTCATGTATCGGTGCACAGAATTTCGTAAAAAAAAAAAAGGAAAGAATCACTTCTTTCGTCCTCACCCATGATGGTCAAAGGAAGGAAGAAAGTTATGTCGAAAAAAAGCAAAGAAAAAAAGCGAGACATACGATTAAAACTTGTACGTACGTATGTCTGTCTGTTCGACTGTGTGTTTGTCAGTGTATGCATTGCAGTTCTATCAGCAAAGCGATTCGTACGAGAACATGCTGAAGTACATGAACATGTTCTTCACGGGGATATTCACTGTCGAGTGCGTACTGAAGATCGCAGCATTCGGCGTGAAGGTAGGCTCCATATATTGCCAAACATTTCTCTCTCATCGAATTCAATATATTCTAAGTAAAGAGATTTAATTCGAGACTAAGTCGAGTGAAAGATTGCTCCTCGTGATTGTTCCCTAAAATTGGAAGCCTGAAGAAATCCAGAAATCTCTCGCTGCTGAAAGAATTGATATTATTGATATTATTGAGATAATAAACATTGAAATAATTTGGCGTTGAACATATTTTGTGTACGTAACGTTAATTTATCAATAAAAATCAGAAAAAATTAGAAATAAATTTTTAAAACAATTTAAAGTGATAAAATTGCTATAACAGTTTTAATAACAATGGAATGTGGAAGAACATCACGAGAGAGTTATTTTTCGCGTCGCCCAGTAAGTACCACTTGTTAGAAGATAATTATAAGTAGTTCTTCGTGAGAACCGATGTAGCAATATAACTTATCGGAATACTTTCGATACTGCGGAGACATCCGTGTATATATTCTATTTCACGCGTGTACCTCTTCATACAAGTATACAGAATATACTATTTAGTGAACTTTCTGCGCGCAGGGCTGAAGAGCACTAGATGCTGTCGGAGTAGTTGTAGCGTTTCCATTTTTCGATGTAACTTCGTACGAATATATAGATATGTATCTCGATAGAACTAGAGAGAACTAGAATTTTTCGTGCTCCTCTGTGCAAGGATTAGTTGCAAGATCTAGATAGAAAGATTTTTTTTATCATTACTCATACTTGTTGTTCTACTTGAGAGAGTATTAATGAAGTCTACTTTAGTATACAAAAAATGCTCAGCTCTAGTACATTGTACACGTGATCGAGCTTCAAGACAATCTGGAAAGATTCAAGATTTAAATACCACTCAATCTTTTTTATTTTTACTTCCAAATTCGAATTTCTTTTTTCGATAGATTGAAAAAATACAATATTTTCATCAGTTTTCATGTTATCTGCTTTTAAACTATATTATTCATTTAGTAAATTTTATACTTTTTTGTTCATTGTGGCTATTACTTTGTGTGAAACTTTGTATTTAATATAAAGATCACAGCAGACACAATCAATATAATTGAATTAGAGTTGTATTTATTTCATTTTTTAGAAAAAAAATTTTAGAATTTTATGCAATATATTATTACTCATACGTTAAATACAATCAAATATAATGAAACACGCTACGATCAAAGATAATGAAAATCTTCTCAGTTTCCTACATTCATAATTACAGTGAACACATAATAATGGGATTAAATCATTAATTGTAATTTTAGTATTGCATTTTTTATTTCTGTTAATTTTTGTGTTTTTATAATATTAACTCTTTTTTTATCCCATTATTACAATAAGCTAATTACATAGATTTTATATAAAAAAGAGAAAAAAATTTAAGCTATAATCGAATATTTACACAATATAGATATCTATCGATTGTTCACACATATATACGCATGTACGCACGCGCACATACACACACACACACACACACACACACACACACACACACACACAAATTCGATCGTAATATTAAATATTCAAGTGAGTCTCCGTGAAAATATTTCGTATTTTCATTACGTATTGTATCTGATAAAAAATGTGTAATTAAGCTTATAATATAATATTCATAAATGCGTTTTTAGAATTTATAATTTAACATATACTTACATAGAAAGTTAACAGTTACACATACAAATACATAGACATAAAGATTCGTACATCATACACCTTCATATGGCACTCATGAATATACTTCTACATGACGAATTGAGAACATAAATCTTACATCGGATTATTTTCAGTTTTGTTTCAGTTTTTCTTTCTTGCTTTTTCTGTTTATTTCTTTTTAATTCTCTCTCTCTCTCTCTCTCTCTCTCTCTCTCTCTCTCTCTCTCTCTGTCTTTTTTATTTTTCTCTCTTTCCTGTATTATGTTTCTTTCGTTTGTTCGATTTAATTTTTCAGAATATTTTTCAAAATAAAAATGACAGAACGAGTGGAAAATTAATCCAAGAGAAAATTTCGAAAGTTAAGGAAAAGTGTATATAAGAAAAGGGGCTACTTTTTGATATTCTCTGCATGTTTTGCCCGTTTTGTCTGTATCCGCATATAATCACTTGCTCAGTCTGATATGTTTTTGATCCTCACATGCATACATTACGATTACTACGATTGCGATTATGAGTTGGGAATGACAATAATGGTGATGACAATAATAACAACTAAAGATAAAAATGATGACAATGATGATGACGATAAATTATGGTGATCACAACGAAACTAAAGTCGAGAAGTCGCGAAAGCACTTTTCGCTGCTTGTTGCCGCATGCAAGTCATATTGTGTGTGATAATAAGCATTATCTTCTTTTTCACATATGCACTTGGCACACACGGAATTGGACATCGTATTTTACAGATTGATCGAGATTTATGTATCACATGTATGATGAAGAATCTTCCTGTGAGAGATTGGTTAGATTTGTGTGGTAATTTGGTAGAAAGAAGAAATATCTTCTTATTAAAAAAGAAAATAAAAATCAAATTTAATTATTTTAATAAGAAATAATTTTATATGACATTATATAATTGCATTAAAGTCATTTTTTATAGAATAATATACTAGAAATGTTTATTTGTAATATTTAGATATTTTGACATATATATAATTTCTATTATGTTATTGTTATTTATATATGGTATATATGGTATATAATGCAGTGAAATAATACACAATACTAGTGTTATAATACACAATACTAAGACAACTTGACAGTTTACAAGCAAATTAAAACTGTAATCGGAAAATTTATCTTTCTCTGTATTATAAAGTTTTATATATATCTTTGAAATTTATAATTAAAATATAAATTTTTAATGGGAGTCTTAAAGAAAGGTTAAAAAATAAAAATCATAATTAAAAAAATAACAGTAGAATGACAATTTATATTGTGTAATGAGTAAATATATTTTTCAATTAAGTAACATTTATATCTTCAATGAAAAAAAATATTTTCTTTAATTCAGTAAAAATGTTTAATTTGGACGGGAAAAATAGATGAAGGGAGCGATCGAACAGAAATTAATTAAAAAAAAACGAAGAGATATACATATATAAATATATATGCATGACGGACAAAAGAATATTAGAATCTGGGTTGTGTGTTATGTCTGTGTGTTGGGTATATTTTGTAGTATTACGAAGCGCCGATAGTTTTATTGAACTTCTTTCTCCATCATGAACTTAGTTGTCTCTCCTTTTCTTCATTGAGTGCATCCTTAAATTCGTCGCCTTTGGATGCAAGATATACATAAGCCTCTTAAATCGCTATAATTCCATCTCACTTTCATTGGACTCACATTGCAAATTCTCATCACTTGTAACTCCATCGAGACTGACATCATTCACTGATCATCATTAATTGTGTGATGTTATCAGTCAGAGGATACTCGTGAAGAAAGTGGGGATCCCAAAACTGACGAGAAGAACAAAAGGGAACACGTTGAGACATGAAACTGTTTATCATGAAAAGAAAAAGTACTTTCAAAGTTTATTCTTAAGTAAACTTATTAAGATTTAAAATAAACTTGTATGTATAATATGAAATTCTTACAGTATTTTGAATAGGCATTCAAAAGGTAGCAGTTGCCAGAAAATAGGACTATACTTGAAAAAATTATCGTTGAATTTTTTTAAATATTGCAGAATATGTCGTAGATATCAGATTGTTTTAACATTAATTAATATAAAAGATTATTATAATTATTGTTAAATGACTTAAATATTCAATAAATAATTTGACTAATTAAGCTTGAAACAAACAGATATAAAAATTTTGCTCTCATTGATTAATTATAAAAAGATTATTGTTTCAATAAAATTTTTATACAACAATTATTAACAATATATTTATACAACTTTATTGAGAAACTTGTATGAAAATCAAAAAATGAGTTTTTTGATGTGAATTTTACAGAAAAAATTTATAAAAATTAATTCCATATTGTTAATTCCATATTGTTTTTTTATATTTTGCATAATTTCCATAGTGTAATCGACGCGACGGTTTCTATTTTCTGGTGAAAGTAAAAAAAAATTGAATATATCAAGTTTGCGTGTCTCTTTCTCACTCTCTCTAGTTTACCTGCTATTACTAGCAAGCTCCCAAGTAGAAACTTCTCTAGAAGAGATCTAGTCACTTCAGCTGATCAAATCGATTACCAAAGCGTGTGATTTGGGATTAAACGCTTTCAAATTTTTGTGAACAGATGTCTTCGTCTTCATGGATTTAAAATTTTATAAATAAATTCTATTGTTAATAAATTGTTTACTGAACATCGATGGATATGATTCCATTATAAAAATTAAGAATGAAATCTGTTTCTTACAATAAAAAACATAGAAAATATTTTTATTGATTATTTAATTTGTTATATTTAAGTTTATAACAATATTAAATATTAAAATATAAATTTTTCTACTTTTAAAAATAAGCGGCCATTATTTTTTATAATTACAATAATTATTTAGTAATTACTTTTTCTTTCTTATGACCAAGATTTGAACAACAAGATTTGATCATTATGATATTCAAAATTACTGTTCAGAAAGGCACACATTACAGAATTTCAACTTAATAAGTATTACATCCATAATAGGAGTGCTCACGAACACGCACATGCACACAATACATGTATACAGGCATTTTTACACACAAAATAACTTACATTCACAAAAAAAGCAGATTATTATGTACTTTTCTTGAAGTCGAATTCGTAGTTCTTTAGTAGTAGTCATTTCTTCTGTAGTAGTAATAATACGCAACAATCTCACAAACACTGGAACTACTCCCAAGTTCGTTCAATAGAATACTGAACAATATCAATGATTACTTCGAATGATTAGTTCGTTGCTTATTATTGATATTTATTACAATATATAAATCAAGACATAATGAGGAATAAAAAAATTATAAAAGAATGGAAAAAGCAAAAATTATTTAATGACGAAGTATCAATTCGCGTTTCTTTTATCCCTAAACTGTTATTTTATTAGTTTCTAAGCAGTTACAGTTAAGATTAATTGAAATGAACGACAGTGAGGTAAGCAATAAT